GTGTTGCAGGGGCCTCTCGGGGCCTCTTAGCGCCTTCCAATATGCTCGGATGATGCGTACCTGGGTGACCCACCTCGGGGTCGATGGTAGGTGGAGCAGGCGCAGCCAGGGCCACCATCATGTGGCTGTTTCGGCCGCGCCCGCATTCGGTATCCCGCGCGCCAAGGTGTGTCTGGGTCTGCCTATTTCGGCGTCCTCGTCCCCCGTGGGCGAAAGTGACAGAGGTAAATACGACATATCAAGAGGTAGGGCATCCCAAGCTAAGTGGATATGATGGTAACAGGGACACAAGGTTTTACCCAGGTTCAAGCTCTTCGAGGAGATAATACCATTAGTAGCCCATGAACCGGTCTTCAAGTTTGGATGCACCCCCCTCCCGAGCTACCATTCGTCTTCGGTCGTGAGTCTTGAAAACTGGTTCAATGAAATTATCTTCTGCATTCAAGTCTTGATGATGGATCACATCCAAGGCAACCCAAACCACCTCGGCTTCTGACAAGTGTTGTATATTTGAGCCAAGCTACACATCAGAAAGGTTCCTGCGTAGCCGTGCCTTAGGCGCGAAATATTCTCGCACCCATGGCATGATGATGATCCAGTTTGGTTCTGACAATACTGACTGATCTTATCCACGAGTCCACCTGGCCACATGGCATCTCTAATCTAACGGTCAACATGTAGACGTGGGTTAAGGGGCCACCATCATAACGTCCCAGCAAAATTAAAAGAGATAGTGTGTATTGATGGGCGCGGTAATTAACGGTTGCCTTCTACTTGCTCTCTCGTAAAAGTGGTTAGGTAACCCCAAGCGTAAGAGTGAAGTAAACCAGCAATAAGTATTCCCCTTGATTGAGAACCAAAGTTTATCGAACCAGCAGGTTTTTTTGATCAAACAAAATCCTCGGTGCCTGCACACCACAAAGAACACTCTTGCCTCTAATGTTTTAAGAAGGTTGTCAAGCTTCTTGTCCTGCTGGTTACAAGGATACATTGTATGGTGTGGTAGGAATGATAGATAGATAAAATAATAAAAATGGTACATCAAAGAAAGTAAACTGTAATGGTGTATGCAATAAAAAAAGATAGACCCAAGGGGTCATATTTGAATAGAGGCATCTCTCTTCACGGAGGAGTTGTTCATTTCAATGTCACCGAATCGTTCCAGTTGTTCTGACCGACAATGGGCGAGTATATATGTCCGCCCACGAACGATTTTGGAAAATTCTTAAAACCTAGCTATTCGTGCCGCAACTCGCCTCTGTCGTCACCATGTTGCCAGACAATCGCCTCAACCTCCATCAACCCTAGCCACTGGATTTCTTTGTCACCAGCGTCAATCAACCCCGACGTCACCACCGTAGTGAAACATCGCCAATTTAGGGTATGTTTCGACCCCTTGTGCATCCAAATTCCGATTTGAAGCACAAGGATTGCCACAATACCTTGTTGTAAAAGGAAAGCCTTTGAAAAAATCCGGAGCCTCCGCGCCGCTGGGGCCAAGATACACTGCAGGGTGCATGGGTCCTCTAGCTCCATTCTTTTATGTGTCTTCATGATCCGGAAAGATATTCACGCTTGGCTTTTCTTCATGTTTATTGAGGTTCAAGTAATTTCCTTCATTCACAAATATTATACATGTAATTCTGCCTTTTCTGACAATTTGATGGTAGATTAATCCAAATAAATGTAAGATTTTGCATAATTTAATAATTTAACAATAATATAATAACACATAAACATCGAAGAGTCAGTTGAAACATATCCTCCTCGGATAAAAAGACGAGGACAACTGCCACCAAATGCGAAGAAAAAGGACTAAGGCCTCAACAATGCATGCCCAGCCGTTCAAAAACCCCAGGGGCGATTAAAGGAGTCAAAAAGAAACCTTGCTCAAGTTGCAACACAAATGCGGGCATAGAGAAGGGAAAATTGAGTGTAGCTTAGATGGTTAGATTTCTTACGGTGAAATTATCCTACCGGGGTTCAAGTTCTAGACTTGACGTCGATGATCATATTTTTCTGTATTTATTGCAGGTTTTCCGACGATGTTTGTTCAGTGGAAGAAGACGTTTTTGTCAATACAAGACGTTCATAATGATTTCGTCAATCTTAAAATGTTGTATCAACTCAGTACTACCTCCGTCCCGATTTATTGGTCCTTTTTGTAACATGTGCCAAATTTTGATCAAAGATTTAACTAACAAAATGTTAATGCATGTCACAAAAAATTATATCATTGAAAACTTAAACATAAACATTTTATTAGTTATATTTATGGTCAAAATTTGACACAGAATATAATAGAGACCAATAAACTAGGACGAAGGTAGTATATCGAAAGTGATCGTATGGGTAGGGTGTACGTGTGTTTATAGGGGCAAGTACATGTGTATAACATATACAACATGTGATTGTACCGTGTTCCAAAGACCGAGTATCCGCGTCACGTGCTAATGACCTTCATTTTTTTAGGTTCACATGCTAATGATCTGCAAAGGCACGCTTTCTTTAGGGTACGCCAATGGCGTACCTTAGCTTTATAGACGGGAGAAAGATATGTACAAGAGTTTTACATCATTGCTAGGCAGGCCACCTACCTGGCCCTACCACAGCCTCCTAACACAACCCAAAGCCTACTACTCACAAAACGTAGCTACTCCTGTCGCTCCAGCCCTAGTCCACATCTCTAGTTCTTGCCAGATCAGGTCCACTGTGCCTCCTGTGTTCCGCAAGTCCGTTCTGCCAAATACCCTTCCATTGCGCTGCTTCCATAAGTTCCAGCATACCGACAGGACAACTGAGTCAAAACCCTTCCGATGCAATTTTGGCATCCGTTTCCTCACTACCAGCCACCACCTCCCAATACTATCTTGAGCCGAGGGGCATAAGGTCATGTCAATCCCCATTCTGTCGAAGCACATGTACCAAACTTACCGGGTAAAAACACAATTGCAACAATGTGGTCCACCGTGTCTTCCTCATGATCACAAAGGAAACACGATGATCTCTCTTCCTGCAGACCATGTCTCCATCTCATGTCCGAGGTCCAGAGCCTATACTGGATGGCTAGCCACATGAATAGCTTGCAGACTAGCGGTGCCCAACACTTCCAGATTGCAGCGTAATGTTGGAATCTAATCCCTCCGATACACATCATCTTGTAAGTCGAGGAGGCCGTGTATTTTCCATCCCTGTTTCAATCCCAGATTGGTTTGTCCTCCGTGTCCGGCACCAATTGTACCTCAATCAAAATCTCCCACAACCGGATGAATTGTACCAAACCCTCCGTGTCAAGTTCACCTCCAATATCTTCCATCCAAGCATGCATCCATAATGCATCTCTCACACATCTTCTGTTGGCAGTTTGGGTCCTGACCTGAATATAGACCAGTGGGGCCAACTCCTTAACTGTTGCACCATTGATCCAACAATCTGTCCAGAAAAGCACCTTTGTGCCCGCACCAAGTTGCCACTTCATCAAACTGCCAAAAGCCGCACAAACCTGCTTATCAGGTTTCCAGTTCAGCCCCTGCCATGGTCTCGGCTCATCGGTTCTCGAAAGCCATGCCCACCTAAGCCCGAGCGCTATCCCGTGCTTGTGTAGATCAATGACACCAAGCCCTCCCAGCTCCTTTGGACGACACACTCTGTTCCAAGATGCCAAACATCTACCTCCATGAACCTCTTCTGATCCTGCCCAAAAAAATGTCCGACGGCCTTTGTCAATTCTCTCCAGTGCCCACTTCGGTGCCTCAGCCACAATCAGATGATGCATCGCCCTCGCTCTCATAACCTGGTTGACCAATATCAATCTCCCTGGCCGTGTCACCAAGCCTCTTTGCCATCCAGGAAGGATATGCAGCGCTGCATCAACCATTGGCTGCCACTCCGAGCGCTTCAACTGCTTAATGCTCAACTGCAGGCCAAGATACTTGCAAGAAAAAGACTCCATCTTCCATGGCAAAGCGTCCCTTACCAGCTGCTCGTCCTCTGGCTCGGCCCTTATCATGATCGCTGCCGACTTCGCAAAGTTAATCTTCAAACCCGAAGCTTCTCCAAAAATGCCAAAGACCTCACGAACAAAGTGCAGATCCAGGATGGTTGGCTTTATAAATAGAATCACGTCATCAGCGTACAATGAAAGCCTCTGCAAAGGCACGCTTTCACCCACGCTACTGGCAAGGCGCAAAACACAAAACCTTCCGTGCAAAAAAGTTGATAATATTCGTTGCCGTCACCGGCTCCTTGTACCCTGGCGAACAAGCTGAAACCCGTTTCGTTTAACATTGTACTACTGCAAGTTTCTGACCGTGCAACGTGCATGCATGGTTCATGTTTCATATTTTTTCGACCTGTAATTCTCGATTAATTCAATCACACCTACCTAACATCTATTTCCTCGCAAAAAAAACATCTATTTCCAGCCCATTGACAGCTGGCCGCAGCCGACAAGCACACCCACCCAAGGGCTTTATTTCAAATCATATATAACCCGAGGACTTTTTCTAACAGAAAAGAAAGGCAGAGACGACGGTGACGCGACACCTCGAGGCCAACGGCTACCTTTCCAGCGCAGCTTCGCCGTGATGGGGCGGTAACATCTGAGCCGAGGTGAGGTGTCCACGGCCCGACCCCAGAAAATAATAACGTGAGAAGCCAAGCGCGCGACCGAAAAAATACCACTCGTCCCTTCGCCACCGGACGCGGTCGGAGATGGCGGCGACGACAACGCAGCCGCCCTCGCCGCTTCCGCCGGCCGGCGAGGTGATCGAGGTGGAGAACTCGGAGCCGGGCTCGCCGGACGCCGGCAGCCGGAGCAGCGGCAGCGGCCGGAGCTCGTCGGAGTACTCAGGGTGGGTCTACCACCTCGGCGTCAACTCCATCGGTCACGAGTACTGCCACCTCCGCTTCCTCGTCATCCGCGGCAAGTGCGTCGCCATGTACAAGCGCGACCCGCACGACAACCCGGGACTCGTGAGCTCCCCTCCCTCCCTCTCTCCGCGCTCTGCTCTCGCCGCTAGATTTTGGTTCTGATGCGTGTGATGGTCCCTTTGATTCTCGGGGATTTCGGGTTATGGCTTGTCAGAGTTGTGGATGAAGCCGGGACCGCTCAGTTACGTCTTGCTTTACTGCTTGTTTCTTAGGTCTGTCTAGTCACAATTGTGGTTTTTTTTAGATGAACTGCTGAATTGTGCGAATTATACTCTGCCGTTGCAATTCCTGACTTGATTTTGGCATGAGGTAGAGGTAGAGCTTTGCACGGGCGAGAATTTAAACGTCCATGGGAATTGAGAAAGCCTAATTTGTTACGAGGGAATGTGGTGTCCATGCATTTGGATGTGTCGTGTCTACTGAGAAATGCTTAAATGTGCATTTGAAGGTTAATCTGGTTTGTAAATTCTACACAGTTGTGGTTCAGTTGCTGCTATGCTAATATATGATGCACATGCGCTTATTTTTCCGCTGAAGATTTTACCACCAAACTTGTCAGAAGTGGGGGAATTCAGAAGAAAATGCTGAGTTGTGTGTGCGTTTAAAATGTGTACCCTGAGGGGATTTTGACATCAATACCTTGGTCAGTCTGTCTTACATGTGTCTTATCAGCTACAGAATACCGCATTCTCATGTAGGGGTTGTTCCGAGATGTTATAAAAAGGGCAGCCCGGTGCATGTAGCTCTCGCTTGCGCAGGGTCCGGGGACGGGTCCGACCACTTTGGGTCTATTGTACGCAGCCTTTCCCTGCATTTCTGCAAGAGGCTGGTAGGTTTCCAGGACCCGAACCACAAGGCAACAGCTTTACCGAGATGTATACACGCTGGGAAAATTCTCCTGCGTTGCTCGATGTAGGTCAGGACAAGTTCCCGCGCAGCGTCTTGAAAGTTCACCTGCCCGGCTCTCACAAACCAGGCCGGTCTTATCCATGGACCCACCTAACAACATGCTTGCCTTGACTTGATGGTCAACACAGCATGCGGGAGTGGGTCTGCGGCCCACCTAGGCCACGTCCCATCAAGGGTGTGCGCCTTGATTCCCGCGAGCTACTACCACATATGGGTGGACTTATGTTTGGACACTATGCCACAATGGTTCTTCATTTGCAGAATTTTATCTCTCAAACTTTTCTTGGGCATTCTTGTGGAGGATTATTTTACTCATAAACATCTGCTTGTAGGAACCTATCCGAAAGGGTTTTGTCAGTCACACTCTTGTGGTGGAGGAGGTTGGTCGCAAAAAGGTCAATCACGGGGTAATGCCGTAATGGTCTAATTTTGTATTGGTGCTTCAGTTGACAATGAAGTGAATGAACAGACATATATTCTTGCTTATTAAAGAAATATCTGATATATATGTTTTGAAAACCTAGGATGTTTATGTCTTGAGGTTGTACAGTAGATTGGATCAAACGAAGAAAGGAGAGGTATTCATCTTATTACACTCTTGTGTGTTTGCATACAGTTCTCCTGGCAATTAAAGATCTATTGTTACTGTCTTTTACTAGATTGCGTGTGCAACTCCTGGTGAAGCTCAAAAATGGACTGAAGCATTTGAGCAGGCTAAACAACAGGTATTAAGCAAGTACTGTCAAATACTACTTGCTTTTATCCAGATAGAGTAGTTTTGGTGTTTATTGAAACAATACAGCAATTCCCTTGTTCAACTGGACCAAGTTTTACCCTAACAAGCTAAAGTAATACTTCTGTTTAAGGCACTTCTGCTGAAGTAAATATACCGATATAATTCGTTTCCCTTATTTCCTACTTGCGTTATTTAAAATTGTGATAACTCACCGGATAATATTCTTGCTCTTTCTCTATGATATGAACTGCCATAATATTGCAAGAGAAATGTAGGTTTCTGATGAATAGACAGAAGAATTTAGCATGTAATCAGGTGATTAATACTGTTGTGATCTGATTAACTTAAATTTGCAATGCAAGAGACTGTTACGGGCCACATAAGTGTGCTAAATATAAAGGACGTGACTACATAGTGTGCCCACCTAATCTCTTTGTACCGCACTCGGTAGCCCGG